GGTCCAGGGCTCAGGGGGAAGGCTGGGGGGGTCCAGGGCTCAGAGGGAAGGCTAGGGGGGTCCAGGGCTCAGGGGGAAGGCTGGTGGGACAGTCACCTTGAGCCAGTTGTGTGATCTCTTGGCGATCTCGTAGGTGGCATCGATGTCCAGGGTTTTCACCATCAGCCCCTCGCAGGAGTCTGAGGAGACACAGCGCCACCCTTGTGAAGCCGGGGCTCACAGCGGCCGGAGCAGGCAGGATTCGGGGAGAACCGTCCAGGGTGGGCCGGGATCACAGCGGATCGCAGGCCGGCTCCCGACCACAGAGGGGAGGGGGGTGGCACCCTCACCTTTCACCGACTGCTCCAAGAACTCCGCGATCTGGTCCATGTCCTTGGTGTCCAGGGAGGTGGCGAAGACAAACTCGCCCTCCGTCTCCACGAAGTTCTCCCGGAGCAGCTGCCGGCGTCGGGAAAGGGGCTCACGGACCAGGGACTGAGGGGCGGGCGAGAGAGGGAGGGACGCCATTGTGGAAAGAAAAAGTCCCCAAAACAGGGAGCACAAGTCACGGGGAGCTAAGGAGAGCCTGGAGAGGGGAGAACCAGCCGACATGAGGGTCCTGAGAGTCTAAGTACAGGCTGGCCAGCGGCCCGGGGGCTGGAGACCATTCAGATCCCGGGGGCCCCAGGGGCATAAGACAGGGAGCCACGGCCCTGCTGGGGCTTGAACGGTCTCTTGTAACTAAGACGATGATGGTTCCTTTTTTAACACCAGTTGAATCAAGGCAGAAAGAAGCCTATGATCATTATGCTGTAACACAGACATGCTCCTGAGAGGGTATTTTCTATGTTAATGCACAGCCAGCAACCTTTTACTATAAAGAACCAAATTCTACTATATTCTCAGCTCTGCAGGATACTCCCATCTTTGTCACAGCACCTCAACTCTGCCCCTTTAGGACAGAAAGAAGCTGAATGTGCAACTGACTGCCCACCCTGGTAGGCACTGTGCTGGGAACTGTCTAATAGACACACAGTGTGACCACTTTTTAACTTTGTAATTTCTGGAGCCACGTAGCTCAGTTGGTTAGTGTGTTGTCCCAATGCACCAAGGTTTTGGGTTCGATCCCCAGTCAGGGCATATACAAGAACCAGCCAGTGAATGCATAAGTGGAACAGCAAATCATGTGGGTTTTTTCCTCTCTCCTTCCCGCCCCCCCCAAATTAATAAAAAACATTGTTTAAAGAAGTAGGGAAAACAGCAGCATAGGTAAACGCAGTACTCACCACCTCCCACAACCACATCGAAATTTACAACTAAAATACAGAACCACCATCATTCAGAACCACCTGAAATCTAGCTGAAGTCCTACGACTAAGGAATTAAAGAAGAAGCACATCAAGACTGGTAGGAGGGGCAGAATCAAGCAACCAGCTGGTGCCATATCCACATGGCGGTTTAAAATTGGGAGGGATATCTTGGCTGTGAAGGTTTCCCTGGGGAGCGAGGGGTCCCAGCCCCACACCAGGCCCCCAGCCCAGGTTCCAGTGCTGGGAAAAAAAGTCCCCGTAACTTTGCCCTATAAAAACCAGCAGGGATGTGGCTGAGTGACATGGGGGCTACATGAGTCCCAGGTGTTCCTCTTAAAGGGCCTGCACACAGATTTACTCAGATCCTGCCTGACACGCACACATGTGCCAATCCCCACTAGAACACAAAACTGGGAAGATACCAGAAGAAAAGCTAAGTGAAAACTTTTAGAATCCTAGGAAAAGGATGACTTTTTTCCTTCTTTAATCTCAGGGATGAGAATGCATTAAGGGGGGAAATGTTATGTTTGACTAAATATAAAATAATAGTTAAAAACAAGTTCTATGCAGCAAAAAAGACCATCAATCAAGTTACAAGGCAAACACCAAATAAGAAATATTTGTAATGCTCATGACACAAAGGACCCCGCAGAGCAGGGACAATCAAAACAGGAAGGAAAAAACCACAGAGCATCTAATATTTGAGATTTCCCCCAAAAAAACCCTGAGAAACAGTCAGAATCCCACAGGTCTTCCTACAGTTCCTTTTTGAGGTTAAACGCTGTTTTCCATTTGTATCATAAGGAGGGTGGTTTAGGCACTGCATGCATTTCAGCATTAGGGCCACGAACTGGCCTCCTGGAGAAAGACACGAATAAGAACCCACAGACAAGCAAGTCACAGAACAAATGCCGTGGCCCATGAGCCCGAAGACGCTCCACCTCACTAGGAAGTGGGCAGGGAAAGTTGTCACTGTTCAGCTACCAGATCGTCAAGGATTATCTGGAGGAAGATGGTGAGGGCAGCTAATTGTATCAAAGCTTCCATGTGCCAGCCCCGGCGCTCCACGCCCATGTCCCACCACTGAACCTGCCTGTAACAGACAGGGCAGGTGCTGCCGTTAGCTCTTCAATTACGGGTAAGGAAACTGAGGCACAGAGAGGCTGAGCCAGTCATCTGCAGCAACACAGCGAGGAGGGGAGAGCGGGCATATGAAAGCAGATGGCCTGGCTACAGTTTCTTAACCTGTACCTACCCTGGGGCAGCGGTTCTCAAACTTCTCAGTTTCAGAATCCCTTCACAGTCTTGAAATGTTTTGCACACTCACTCCAAAGCACTTCTGTGTGTGTGGGTTAGATCTCTCAATATTTACCATATGGTATTAATACAAGATTAGTTACATCACATATTTATATTGAGCACATTGAAAGTGAGGATCTCACCCAGCTGGTGTGGCTCAGAGGTTGCGTGTCGACCCAGGAACAACCAAGAGGTCACAGGTTCAATTTCCCAGTCAGGGCACATGCCAGGTTGCAGGCTGGATCCCCAGTAGGGGGTGTGCAGGAGGCACCCGATTGATGTTTCTATCTATCCCTCTCCCTTCCCCTCTCTCTTAAAAAACAAAACAAAACAGCCCTAGCCAGTTTGGCTCAGTGGATAGAGCACCGGCCTGCGGACTGAAGGGTCCCAGGTTTGATTCCAGCCAAAGGCACATGCCTGGGTTGTGGGCTCGATCCCCAGTAGGGGGCGTGCAGGAGGCAGCCAATCAATGATTCTCCTTCATCATTGTTGTTTCTCTCTCTCTATCCCTCTCCCTTCCTCTCTAAAAATCAATAAAAATATATATTAAAAAACAAACAAAAACAGAAAAAACATATTTAAATAATAATGATGATGCCTGGCCAGCGTGGCATAGTGGTTGAGTGTCAACCTATGAACCAGGAAGTCACAGTTCGATTCATTGATGTTTCTATCTCTCTCCCCGTCTCCTTTCCTCTCTGAAATCAATAAAAATAAATTAAAAAAAAATAATACAAAACAAAAGTTAAAAAAAAAGAG